CCTTCTTTTTTTTTTTACGCGCGCACCAACACACACACACACCCAACTACACACATATGTACAAACACACAAAAAAATGAGACCTGTAACACACATACTACATTACTAAATACATAATTATAAGTAGAAAATATATAGTGTGTAATATTTTTATTTATAATTTTATTTTTGCACACACGTAGAAAATGTAAAATAATTATAAGCCTAATTGTGAACCTGTTTTTGATTATTAATAATAAAAAAGTCTGTGGTCAAATTGAGAATAGATAAATATTGTTTGTTCTTAATAATAATTGTCTATACTATTTCTGAATGTCAAACATAACATTAATACATTCATTTATTACAATACATGTTATTAATTAGTAGAATACCGCTCGCTTAATGTACAAATATAAATCAAATATATATATATATATATATATATATATATATATATAATAAAATATATAATAAAATGTGTAATAGTTATTAGAACGTTAATAATGTTCAAACTTATAATTTAAATTAATACTGCTCGATTTTCGATCACTGAGCGATCACTAGTATGAACAATTATTTGTAGAAGTGCTCTGTATGGATTTAAAACAATGATTAATACACAATAATTAATACATATTTAATGGCTCTATTAAAGATAAATCCCGTAGTATTTAGATCAACTCAAAATCCATTGAAAACTTTGTAGACGAATTCTCATCATTCATTGAAAGCTTTCGATAATCCAATTATGACAGAGTAGGGAAAAAACAGCGGACGCACTTACATAAAAGCTAATTTTAATAAAGTGTCCGTACAACTTTCGAAACTGTCCATCGAATTGAAAATTATGCTTTTCACTTAAACTAATTGGTGATTCAAATGAGACTACGGTAACGTCGCTTTTCGTTACGCCTGCTAAAATTAAATTTAACATAATGATAGGTTAAGTGATTTTTTAATGTGATATCGTGTATTATTCATTCAATTGTATTTAATATACACACAACTCACAAAATCGACAATACAGTGAAGTTACCTATGAAACTGTATAAAGAAGTATTATATAATTGAAATAAAATTAATATTTTTTTTTATTTGATCTATATGCCTATGTATATGGACGAAGTCTTTGGCCTAATAGTATAGTACAGCCCTTTACTTTCGATGCTCTCGAGTTAAGTATTTCCATCTTCCATAAAGACAAACATACTGTTACTGGAGCGGGAACACAACTACTATTTTAATAAAAACCAAATACTAGTAAAAATGTGTATTCTTCCCAAAAGGGCTCACAGCAAGAAGTAACAAAACAATATTAGTTCGTCAAAAGTGACATATAAAAAATAGATAAAATATATAAAGTTTATAAAAAGAATGGTAGACAAGCTACCAGTAACACATACTGTACTTAAAAATACAATATTATACATAATAAAATAATATATATAATGTAAACTATTAGGAAAAGAGATTTGGTTAAGTTGCTACTAGTTACATCGGAGATTCACTGATCGATTTTCGTCCAATTCAACGATACGTGATACCCGTATATTGATACCTTGACCTTTCGTAGACGCATTATATCCTGTGGAATGTTAATGTATACGTGAGTATGTTTTCAATATGTGTATTAAATTTAGTCAGCAACTAAATTCGGGCTCGAGGGCTTTTGAACGTTACTTACTAATGGCTGAAGGTTAACCAAAGTTAGGCGTGGTTTGTAATTATACGAGTATCTAAGGGTGAATGTAATTTGTAGTTAATGTTATGCAATTCACTAATACTGTATCGCATACTTAACATATTTATAAAAAACTAGCGACTCGCCCCGGCTTCGCCCGGATATACATTCTTATTATATTATAGTATTCTTCGAATTACTCTATCTATTAAAAAACCGCCTCAAAATCCGTTAAGCATACATAGGGACAGACAGCGACAGCGACTTTATTTAATACTATGTAATAATGTAAAACGTCAAATAAGCCCACTTAGTCATATTAATTTGAAAGAAAAAAGCAAATCATGTATTTTTTTAATGTTTATTAAAAAAGAATTATTTCGTCGATTAATATAATAAAAAAGAATATACGATAGATGTTTATCCCGAGTAGTCCTGCAATATCGAATACGGTAGATACAGTCTTTAGTACTATTTTGTTATAAGACTGGTTGTATTATTCTATTTAAAGTGTTTATTTGATACTCAAATATTATTTCAAATATTATCATAGAAATATTGATTTAATTTTGATGTAAACAAGTTCAGTTGTAACGAGCAACTTTAAAATATTATTTCCTTTAGACCATCCGTGGTTAACCAAAAATATATAAACATACTATACATTAGATTTATAGGGATTTCATACGAGATTTACGAGTGTCATTTATTATTCAGTATCTGTGGTACAATCAAATATATTACACACTTCTGGGTGTGGTTTTATTCGAATAAATGAACTATTTTTTGTCTGTGGTACTATCGGTACATCTAGAACTCACAATAGTAAATATTTATTGCGATCATGTCTACGATATATCTCCGAGTCCAAAAAACAAATAGTTGTTGTCTGTATTTTGCATATTCTGCATTATTATAATTATGTACGCAGTACTATTTAATCATATTCTTCTACTATCATTAATTTAAAATTGTATCGGTGGTCATTTATGTTAATAGTAGCAAATTTAGTACGATAACTCTGAAGTAAATACTTTCTGCTAAAAAAATAATCGTTACGAATTTTTGATACTGATTGACAGATATCACATACTAAAAATACAATAGAACTAAAACCTTTTCATTTGTAAGTTGGTTGAAAAAGTTCAATTCGAAAAACCAAGCTTCGATCGAACACCAGTTGTCGGTAAGCTGAATAACTTTACTCATGAACAAACTCCGTCGATGAGAAACCCGACGAGTTCCCTATATGGTCGCCAGGTGACGTTTATGCGTCGTTGTTATGAAAGTGGCGCCAATTTTGTAGCTTGTTTTTTTTATTTTGTACTGTTGAGGCAAAGGAAAGCCTGACATCTCATTTTGCACGTAGTGTGGAAAGATTATATTTTTATTTTTCTTAGAATATCAGTAAGTACACAAATATTTACATTCTCCTTTAGCTTTATATTGCGAAATATTATGTTACATCTCAAAAGAAACAAAATTAAAAATGAATGTTTCTCTTATTTTTCCTTATACAAAATTGTTTGTTTTATCGATATGAAACATTTCGAGGTATAATATGCATTTTTAAAATGAATTGGAAATGCCAATACGCTCCTCTCATGGAAAATTTATCTATTGATATGAAATAAGAACAATCATTACATTATTAATAAACTGACTACCTATCCTGATAAAATCCAGTAATAAATTCTAACGGTAAAATATGCAAAATTAGTTGACGTTTATCTAGTGGGTGTATCATCCTGAGATATTACGGGATAAATGGAATGTCATCGTAGTTCTCCGGAATACCATAGTCATCAGATGATAACGTGATTTAAAAATTCATCAGATTGAAAGCATTACGGACAATGCCTTCAATCTGGTGAATTTTGAATTTATTTTCATATTTTTAAATTGTAATAATAAAATAATTATATTATTAAAAAAAAAGATACCGAGCACGTTTGTATCTTTTTTTATTGGAACAGGTCATTGGGCTCCCTAAAATATTGTTAAACCTGACCTATATTGTCATACCTCACCCTATATGCTCGTAAATGGGTGCTGCTTGTAAGGATTTGTTTGCTCTGATAACTGACTGATTTATTTTGTAATTCAAGTAACTAGTTCTTTATACTAACTTTGATAATAGGCAGTGTGCACACAAAATCCTTAAAAATGAAATTCTGAACAACATTTATTTAAAAGTTTTCAACTTTCCTGTTCATTCTTCTTGTGATTACTTTGCTATTCAATAGTTATTATATTAAGTTTACTTGAATAAAGATTATTTCTATTTATTACAATTATTGCAAAATAATGAAATGAAAAATGACAGTCAAACATTGTAATGGTATCTTTACTCGTACCTACCATGTCGCTCCAGACAGTATAATATTTTTCGAATATTGGCTTGTTTACCATTTCAGCCATATAAAAAGAAGTGTAAATAGGAATCAATTGATAGTTTTGGAATGGAATAGTTTCCCTGTGGAGCCATATGTTTTCATTTTCATGTCGCATCTGGAACCAAGAGTATGTTACCGTTATGTGTCCTTACGTCGTTTGCAATAAGGTATACTTTTGTGTAAATCTATAGTGATATTTGAAAACTAATATATGGAATGTAAATTTCAAGAGGAAATAACTACGAAATTTAGGTGGAGTGCTCTATTATCAATGACCTCATAGACATGTACTTCATATAAAATTGAAGATTAAATGCATATACGAATGTGTATGTAGTCTTTAAAATTATTAATTTAAGGATTTTATATATATATATTATTATATTATAAATACTTATATCTAAATGAATAAACTGTTTCTAGTTCTAGCCAAAACAACTTCATATTTTCACATGTCATCAATCGGAAATTGATAATGACAATAATACTTTATGCAATTATTTATTTGATTAATGTTTATTTATATTCCGAGCATTAAATCTTGCCTATAAATTTATTGACAAAGCCCAGAATAAAATAAATATAAATAATTTGATCTATATCATCTTTAATATAAAATTTACCAAACCCACTTTCAGTGTCGGAAAATATTCCGCCTTTGGGATCTATAAGTCTAGGTAATAAATAGTACACCACAACGATCTTTTCATTTTCAACTACCGTTTAAATCAAACACTAAATTACATGCAGCATCTAATCTATAGATAAGATAAGCTATGAAAGCCTGGAACTAGTAAAGCAGGGTTGTTATTACCACCGATAACTAAGGAGCATTTCGTTGAGTAGTTTGTGAAAATCAACGTATTATCCCATCACTGTTCCGATTTACGAGCGAGAACTGAGCATCGAATTATATCAGTCGGTATCCGAGCGCGGGATTGGTAGCACGCTACGCCGTAGCACCATGCGGTTACGAAGTGATGTTTGAATTTAGAACTGCGTTTGTAAGAACTTTATTCGTATGATTCCATTCGAGATATGAATTTTCTTAAAGAAGTAAGTATTTTTTTCTTTTTTAATATTTAAATAAGTTTGGTTTGTGAAACTTAATAAAATATATTGTACAGTGTATATGTAAATAGTCTTAATAAAAGTTAATATAATTGTAATAAACCAAAACATATACGTTATAACTTGTAATATTTTTATTACGATAGGTAAACTTACCGAATATTATTAATATTCTTCTACTCTCTATACTTTGCCCACGTGGTTGGCTGAAAGTTGCTGGAGTAAAAGCAATAAAAATTGCTATACAATTAATTCTTGTTAACAAGAATTTAGTTTCACATATATGAGTCTAAAGACTTAGATAAAATTAATAAAATACCAGCTCGAGAATAATATACCATATTATATCTATTTTTATTATATTATATTTTTTTTCTTTTCAATCATGTTGATTTATTAGGTTTAAAGTAAACCTAATAAATCAACATGATTGAATTTATCTACGTAGTACTTGAGCTGACTTAAAACAGCTTAGCTTAAACTATGTTTAAGTTTAAAGGTGAGATAATATAACAGTAAATTTACAAGATATGGAGACATGTCACATCCTTAGGCCTCCAAAAGGTAACTCATCGGTAGCACTCACTATGTTGTTGTGCATTATATAATAACACAACAGTCGTTCAGGTGACGGTTGCCATTTACTAACTAGGTAGGCTGTCACTTCATTTATCATTCTAGTAAAAGAATATCGAAAATTTACACAAACACAGTCGAGTGGACATTTCTGTATTGGAATTTAGAAAAAAGAAACAGAATGTTTGGCTTAATGGTATAAAAATCATTCCAGTTGCATAAAAATAATATCGTAGACGTTCACAAACACATACAGTCGACTGGATATTTTTATATTAGATGTTAGAAAGTCTGACTGTGCCTTAATGCCGCAAAAAATGTTGGATTAAAAACATGAAATTTTAAATAGACCTTATTTTTAGAATGCACACTAAAAACGGACTTCCCGTAATTTCGAAGAAGAGGGGAGATATTACAAATTTAAAAAACTCGTACATTTCTAATTGCATTTAGGAACATTTATCAGCGAATTTAATTTAGTAAATAATGGTTTGATGGAGCGATTCGTAAAAAATAATAATAGCAGTGCTATTATTCTTATATTATATGTCTAAAAAAGAAATTTTTGGAGCACTCGTGAATGTTACAATTATGATACTATAGATAGACAGCCAGGAAATAGTATGGTTTATTTTGGTTATTTGTCATTGAATAATATTAACTGGTATATTTGAATTCAAATACAACAAGTTCATTTAAGAGACTAGTGATTAATAATAAATTAGCTTACGGAACTAATCTTTTCGTTTGTTATAAAAAATGTCATTATCTCCATCCCTTTCTGATTTTAGGGTTCAGTACGACTGTTATTGTACCCAAAGTTTTTGAGAATTTCTTAAACTTATAATTATGTATTAATATAATTTATATTTCAAATGAAATAATATATTATTACTCTAAAATATGTGTATATGATTTATTATAATGTAAAGGATTTTAGTTAGATGATGATGTAGGTTTTAGTTTCTATTAAAGGAACTTAATAAATTTATTCTACTGTAGTTTTTCGTGTTAACTCTAACACAAATTAGATTTTGGAACATTAATATGCAGCCACTTGAAACTGGATATATAAAACTACTATGTTGAATGTATGTAATAATCGGGGGTTAATTTATAAATATAAAATAGTCAAAAATATTATCACAAATATTTATAGGTATCAAAAGCTTTTTTTTATTTGTTTAACTGAACGGAATTCTTAGTATACAAGTCCAATTTGTACTTGTTCTGGTTTTTTGCAATGTATGAAAATACAAATTACTCTTTGAAGTTAAAGACAGACCGGAGGGAAAGGAACAGCAAGAAACTTATCTCATTAGTGGCTGTACTATAACAGCACCTAACTGAGATCAGAAATCTTCTCCGACAATGTAACGAGGCAAACTATTAAAAGTATTCTTTGTAACAGTGAAAAAGAGCCTTTAAGCTGTTGGTCTGACTTATTACCACGAATAACCTTAAAAAATTATAGTAAACTTATAAAAACCACACCGTCAAGACATTGTTAGCATCATAACCAATTCTTCGCTTGGTATATTCGAATTCAACATGGTCATAGAATCTATTCATTGAATCCAACTAACTTACCGCCGTCTCTTCGATTATTTTTGGTTTAATAAACATGTTTCTTTCACCGGAGAGTTAGTAAGTAAGTCATTACAGAAATGTAAATTGACACAATTTTTTTTATGGTGGCCAGATTTGAACACCACACTACTTGGTTGTAAGTCTACTAGGCCACGACGCTCTCACTAGGTTATGACTATGTTGTATTTTAAAATTTTTGAAAGTACATATCTGTGAACGATACAGTGTCCAAGTTTTTAATGGAAAGTAAAAATACTGGCGAACTTAGGAAAAGTGGTAGTCGTTTGAAAACTTGAACAATGTTATAGATATTACAGAATGTGATGCCAAATTGGCTGACCAAATAGAACGTACCGTCTGAAAATGGCTAAGTTAAGAAGTACTTGAAACTGTCGAGCTTGCACGAATAGATTGACGAATGTGGAGGGACCGCTAGCTAGTTTACCCCAAATAGGAGATAAGCGTGATATATAATTATGTATATGATATATACTATTTATACTACTACTACATTTTCAATTATAATCAATTCTCTACAATTGTAGATCTAAAACAATAATTTTATTAAAAAAAAATTACGTAACCTATTATATGTACGTATCTCTTTGACTCAAACTCTAATTAATATCAATAATTTTAGAGCTGTTCTTCTGTGATCAAAAAAGTTAATAGGCATTATTATTTAATTTAGTTTAATTTTATATTATTTAGACAAAGTCGTAATACTGTGATAAAAACCTATACATAACCTGCGTAATAATAGTTTCCGAGAAAAGTACCCTCCTTGCTCGACAGTCGAGTAAGAAATAATTGATTGTCAACTTTAAACAAAAAAGTTAATAATTAAAATGGCATTTTGAAATGTTCCAATGTCAATAACAGTGTTGTTGTTTAGGTACTAAACTGAATATTAATGAAACTCCAAAACAAACGGGTAACTGTCACACTAAAATTATTAATGCTAAAGTGGAAGTTTTAGTTGTCATTGTCTATTCAATTATTTAAATATTATAATTGTGTCACTGCGAATGAAAGGAGGATATTGTAAATTGAATGAAATATGCATATAATTTAGAATATATGTATGTTCGAATATTTGAAACAATATCGGAATTAAACGAATATGGATTTTAATAAACGGAGTACAGTTAGATGTTTTATATGCACCTGTATATAGAAACCCAGGAGTTTTATACGCCAAATAAGCAAATAATTAATTTTCAAATAGTATTTATCTATTATTTCGTTTTTCAAACTTATTCTTCCTTAGTGCTACATAGAGTGAGAAATATAATTATAAGATGATCTATTGTTACGAATATTATTATTAGCAGTCAGTTTATTTATATTTATATATTATAAATTACTCAGAAACTGATTTTAACTGAACACCATCAAATTAACAATAGTTATAGTAACGATTTGAATACGGACACCTTAGTAACGTGTCGTTCCTTAATTGGATAGAGTCTGAAATCAAATTGGAGATCCATAATTTATTGTTAATACCATGGTGCACTATTCAGAAAAGTGAAATAAATAATATGAATTGTATTGATATTTATTGAACATTCCATTTTTTTTATAATCAAGCCTTTATTAATATTTTTAGAACTCTAATTATATCACGTCAGATATATAACTAAATAAATAACTTAACATAAATAGATCTCTAATTATGTAAATATACTTACGCAGAATGTCATATTAAAATAAACAGATTATAAATCAATTTCAGATTTTTATAATCTAATATAAAAAAAAATGATTTATCTAGTACCTGTACGTTTTAATTATATACAAAAAAAAAATCATATTTGATTTATATATAAATTTTCTCTAACGATGTCAATGAAACGAGCTTTTTCGAGATGAAATATCTAAATAGGTGTCACTTAAGGGAAAATTCAATTTAACAAGATAAATGACTCAATATAATCGAGCTAAACTCTAGGTAATATTAATTTAAAACAATAAATATTCTGTATGATAGATTATACAAATTCTGATTGAATTTTGTTTTGTAATAAATATATAGACAATTTAATCATTAAATGTTTCGCTACAATAAAGAAAAATCTATTTACGCAGGTAACTTAACATTTTATCTCGTATGTGACCCATGGCGGTACTTTCATAGGACATCCATTCTCTCCTTTTCGTTATAAATAAACAAATAATATACGTTACATAACACTATCTTGTCTCCAACAAAGTAAAGTTAATATTATGAGAACTGAATTATAAATTATATAAATATTATTTTATAAATGTAATATTATGTTTTCTGTGGTAATATCGAGTATACCAATAAGAATGTAAAAAAATGTACTAATATTTAAAATATTTTTAATTAATATGAATCTTTTTTTTCGTTTCAATGGCAACTAAATATAATTACCCGAGAATGTTGCGACAACTTTTGCGCATTCTGTCGCACCCCTTAGATCTTCCTTTGTACAGGATAATGGGCACAAAGAATAAGGTTAATATTAATTAAAACCATATTTAAAATATTAAATAGGTAATTATTTGTATATGAAAATAAAATATATTTTTTATGGCATTTTATTTATGATTTAAAATTTTTTAATTATATTTTTATTAATATGCATATATACTTGTATATGACGTTGCTCATTGTATTTAACTGAGGCGATGTAAGCCTTCCTGTCATCAAAGAACATTATTAACTTAGGTACTACATCTTATTTGTACCATACAGGCAAAGTCATCGTTTAATCAAGCGACCGATGAATCCTCAGGGAGGTCGTATATTAACGATAAATGGCTTCAAGATTAGCGTGAGATGTTACTTG